ATCTAGTTCAATGCCTAGATCTAGAGAGGTCTGAAGGAATCCTGAAAGAGGATGAGGTCCTCGTGTTGAAACACAGATCTAACAGGGACAAGGAAGCAGGGTGGGAAGAAGAAGCATACAGGGACATGGAAATGCATAGAATAACCCTGAGGGAACTTGCAGTCAAAATGGCAGGGGAAAGAAAGTATATTGAGTATGTTGTTTATTTCTATGGGCAAGACGACAGGCAGCACAGTACCAACTCCTCACTAGAGACGGTGGAGCAGGCCAGAGCAAAGCTCGCCTGCGCTCAGTGGTACCCGAATTACCTTCACTGCAACTCAGCCAGTATCTGAACCGGCGAGCACTCAACAAACGGTTTGCAGCCTTTCCTATTGCACAATGTCATGTGAACCAACGATTTGGTAGCTCAATGTATCCGCGCTCACTCAAACAGTGCTCAGACAACACTCAATCAAGCATTCATCAAACAGTTAAGCATCTGTCAGTCAAAAAGTCAGTTAGTGTCATTGTCACTTACGATTCATCATCCAATTGTCCAAGTTACTCGGAATTCTCAGTCAGGAGTCAATCAGCATTCGATTGGCGTTTCGTGCAAACACTCAATTGACATCCTGTCAAATTCAACCCTTTGAGTTACTCGAGATTTTCAGCCATAATCAACCAGTGCTCAACCATCCTCTTTACTCTGCATCAGAGGCCATTTTCAGTCAGGCAGTTTCATTATTTTAAACCTTGGATCTGTTTCAGTACCCAGCATCAACTCATGAGTGCAATCCAGTCCTCATCAGTTGATGAGTCAGTTCTGACAAGCCTCAACCACATTGCTACTAAAGATGCTCTTCACTACCGGTATGCCAATGTCGTTGGCTTCAGACGCGAGGGCCTGTCGATCTTTGTCGTTGTCACCAGTTTTGCAGCAGACACCATCCATGACTTGCGGCCTTATGAAAGAAGGGGAAAGAGACACATGAGCACTGCGATTCGGTCTGGGTCACAGCAGCCAGGTACCTTGAAGAGAGAGAAAGGGAGTTTAATGGGAGTGGTACTAAATTGATCCGCAGCTACGGATCGAAGCTCTACACGGATTACCCCAAGCCGCCAGTCCTTTTTTTACTCACTGATGGATCTTGTTGGGGCGACCTCGTGGATCTGACAAAGAGGTATATCTCACCTGCAACAATTGATTATGAGGCCGTGACTGAGCCTTCCGAGTTCCCACATCTCAGAGGTACGAGGGGGTTGGCTATGGAGGATGGTTGACGAAGATGGAGGAGGAAGATGGTGTGAGGTGGTTGGCTATGGTGGATGGGTGAAGGAGATGGAGGAGGAAAACGATGCGAGGTGGTTGGCTATGGTGGATGGGTGAAGAAGCTGGAGGAGGAAGATGGTGTGACGTGGTTGGCTATGGTGGATGGGTGAAGGAGATAAAGGAGGAAGATGGTGTGAGGTGGTCGGTTATGGTGGATGGGCGAAGAAGATGGAGGAGGAAGATGGTGTAAGGTGGTTGGCTATGGAGGATGTTTGAAGATGATGAAGGAGGAAGATCGTGTGAGGTTGTTGGTTATGCTGGATGGGTGAAGAAGATGGAGGAGGGAGATGGCGTGAGATGGTTGGCCATGGTGGATGGGTGAAGAAGATGGAGGAGGGAGATGGCGTGAGATGGTTGGCCATGGTGGATGGGTGAAGAAGATGGAGGAGGAAGATGGTGTGACGTGGTTGGCTATGGTGGATGGGTGAAGAAGATGGAGGAGGAAGATGGTGTGAGGTGGTTGGCTATGGTGGATGAGTAAAGAAGATGGAGGAGGAAGATGGTCTGAGGTGGTTGCCTATGGTGGATGGATGAAGAAAATGGAGGAGGAAGATGATGCGTGGTAGTTGGCTATGGAGGATGGGTGAAGGAGATGGAGGAGGAAGTGGGTGAGAAGTGGTTGGCTATGGAGGATGGTTGACGAAGATGAAGAAGGAAGATGGTTTGAGGTGATTGGCTATGGTGGATGGGTGAAGAAGATGGAGGAGGAAGATGGTGCGAGGTGGTTGGCTATGGGGATGGGTGAAGAAGATGGAGGAGGAAGACAGTGTGAGGTGGTCGGCTATGGCGGATGGGTGAAGAAGATGGAGGAGGAAGACGGTGAGAGGTGTCTGATATTTCATCCTACTTTACTTGTCCGACTTTGTGTCCCTAAGTTTTTACTTGTCCCAGAATTCAAAAACTTCAGACTTGCACTACTTTCCTACAACAGATATGCAGAAAGCACAGACTTGCAGAAAACACAGTTTTTGCAGATCTAGATATCTGTAGATTTTGCAGATTTTGCAGATTTTGTCGTGAATCAGTCCTAATTCGGTGGGCTCGCTGTCTGTACCCTATGGAAGCGCCCCACTAAGTTTGGTCGAATTCCGTCGCCGTTTGGCCCTACTTGCCGTTTTCGGCCACTGTCCGGGCCTCAAGGTAAACAATTCGGTGAAGTCCATTTTCCATTTTTGCAGGAAAGTTGACTCAGATGACTTGCAGGTCCTTCAGGTCACCTGTTTATGCCTAGGATATGAGGTCTGAGAAGTCTCAACCCTCATATCCCTGGTTCGACGGAACTTGGCCAAAGTGCCCCTTGGTCGCATTGGCCCCTTAGTCCCATCTTCGGACCGGTCCGTGCTCCGAGGGTTGGCCATTGGTTTTTCAGCGCAGCAGCCGCAGCAAGGGACTCGGTCAGTCGTCAGCAGCAGCGGCACCATCGTTATGCAAAACAACAACAGCAACAACAGTCCTAATAGAAAAAACAATATTTTTTCTTACCTCCTATTTACCACGTTCGATTAGAATACGGAGAGTCTCGTTAGGCCATATGTGTGTCAAGTCGATTAACCAAGGATGAACCGGACTATCACCAAGTATATGAAATGCACAAAGCAAGAGTGTGATTAGTGAAAGCATATGCATATGACTAGTGGAACAGCCAAGGATGAATTGGACTATCACCAAGTGTGTGAAATGGACAAAGCAAGAGTGTGACTAGTGAGAACACATGCATACGACTAGTGGAACAGCGAAGGATGAATCGGACTATCACCAAGTGTATGAAATGCACAAAGCAAGAGTGTGACTAGTGAGAACACATGCATACGACTAGTGGAACAGCCAAGGATGAATCGGATTATCACCAAGTGTATGAAATAGACAAAGCAAGAGGGAAGGATCATTCAAAACACTAGAACGAGCCCAAACAAAAATTGTGATTTACTACTAAGTGAAGAGATGGAGAGAAAGTGAAGGGAGTCATGCATGAGATCTCAAGGTGGAAAGTGACGATTCACATGGGAGTGAAGGAATGGACTAAACAAGACTGAAAGATCATCAAAACACTAGGAGGAGCACATGGCGTCAAATTGCGTGTTGTCATTAAGGAGGTCGAGTGCCTTGCATGCAGATTGAAATGTAGGGTCAATATGGTTGTTGACGGTTCGCAGGTTGGCAAATGTGGTTGCACCCCGGAAGTGTGGTGAAGTGAGTAGCATGCGGAGGTAGAACGTGTCATGTCCCTCTTCCAACCAGCAATGCTTTCAACCACGACGGCCGTAATCGCACAGCTACACATGCAGACGTACGGCATATCATCTTAAAGTGAGCTCAGACGTGAACTTGCCTCGTTCCTCCCTCGTCCCCTCCTTCAATCCCTCCCCTGTCTTTCTACCATCATTCCCTTTGCGCCTCTACCGTCCTTCCTCCCATGATTCCTCCCTCCCTCGCTCCTTCCCTCCCTCCCTCCCTCCCTCCCTCCCTCCCTCTCTCCCTTGGTTTTTCTATCCCTCAAACCGTTCCCGCTCTTCGTCTTCCCCTCCCGTTCTCTCCCTCTCTCGCCCTTTCCCTTCCTCCCTTCCTCCCCTCCTCCCGTTCTTTCTGCGTTTCTTCCTCCTTTCTCCCTCTTTCCAACCCGTTGTCACTTCCTCCTCTAATCCCTCTCTCTTTCTTCCTCGGTCCCCCCATCCCTCAATCCCTT